TTTTGTGTGAAGAGTACCCTAAAAGAGTAACCTGTTTATTAATTTTTAAATAACAGGCTGCTTGTTGACGATCAAATCTTATACACCGTTTGGTAGTAAACATTTTTACAATGTTTTGAATGTTAAATTGAAAGCTGTGAGATAAATATGGACAATAAACTACAATATCTTTTCTCTAAAATGTAGTGAAGTAGATAGCACTTAAATAAATGTAGTCAAAATCCATCACTGGCAGACAATGTAGACCTATATATATATATATTCTAACAGAAGGTTCATCATTCAGAAACTGTAAATGAAAAAATACTTCAAGCTCTTTTTACTGAATCAAATAGTTATTTTAACACTTATTTCCACCATTTTGCTCGACAGTGGCATTGATCAACTTCTCTGTTAGATCCGTTTCTAACATTTATAGCTTCTATACTATGAATGTATTTCATGGTGGTAGTTTTTAAAAGATATCCAACATGTTCTCCCACCAGGGGTCAGAGAGCAACTACGAGGAGCTGAAGGAGGGAGCCAACGTGACGTACCTGGACATGAAGCTCAGCCAGTGAGTGTGTGTGTGTGTTTAACTGTTTAAAACACATGCTCAAAGTAAGCCGGATTTTGCCGATGTGTTAATGTGGATTCAAAAGTTGTAAATAATCTACAAAATGGAGGAGACCGATCTGATCGGAGCAACTGTGACAAATAATCCAACTGAAACCGGCATGGACAATGACTATGTTTTAAAAATGTGCTTATCCAGACAAGCTCGGTTTGGACAATTAACGCGCAGAAGAAACATTTCTATAGAAAGAATTATACATTTCTGTCTTTTTATGCCTATAATAGCTACTAACTTGAATTTTTATTAAAATTAATTAATCAATTATTTTTTATATTTTATTGTAATGTAGAGACAAGGCTTTTAGTGACAATCATGTATTGCGTTACAATTATATCTTAAAAAAAAAAAAGTCTAAATATAATATTTGGCCTCAAATCATCTGAGGCCTGGCACCCCCCAGGTTGGGAACCACTGATCTAATGGAGATCACTAAAGTCAGGCTGAAGCATCCTTTGTGCTCCAGTCCATCCTCTCAGTAACCACAGAGCTACAGATCAAACGCACGCTGAAGGCTCTTTGAGCAGCTTCTCTCTCACTGATTGTGATGTTATGTTAAATGTGTGTTGTTTGTTTTTCATGTATTGTGTCTTGATATTTGTCTGTTGATGTTACACATGGAGCTGCTGTGATGCAAGTCAAATTTCAGACTTGATCTGACCATTGAAGTGTTATCGTATCGTGTTCAGATCCGGTCTGGTGGTCCTGGCTGCAGCCTGGCACCTGTCAGACTCTCCCTGCCTGGTGTACTTCTGCCTCGTCACGCTGCAGGACACCGGAGCCGCCATCGCAGACAACTTCATCGTGGAGGTCACCAAACACAACCCCCCCTTCCAGGTCAGTCCTCATCAGAAGATTGAGTCTTTTTCACTGGATATATTCAAGGGTTCGTTAACACAAGTTCCAAAAGACATATTTTACCACAGATCTCTTCCGTCGTCTATTTATGTTGTTTGTTTTGTTTTTTATGTGAGGAGACTTTTGAGATGTCTGCCTCTTAGTTTTCTACCTGTACTCCAGTACATTGGAGTCAATAGTTATTTTATATGTAGTTAGATTTGATTAAATAACCCAATATTTACATCTATGTTGATGTTACAAATGGAGCTGCTGTGATGCAAGACTTGATCTGACCATTAAAGGATTATCGTATCGTAAATGTTTGTTATAGATGGACAGACAGACGGACAGATAGACAGACAGATGGATAGATAGATAGACGGACAGACAGACAGACAGGCAGGCAGACAGACAGACAGACAGACAGACGGACGGATAGACAGACAGACAGACAGACAGACAGTTAGACAGACGGACAGTCAGTTAGACAGACAGACAGACAGGCAGACAGGCAGACAGGCAGACAGGCAGACAGACAGACAGACAGACAGTTAGACAGACGGACAGTCAGTTAGGCAGGCAGGCAGGCAGGCAGACAGACAGACAGACAGACAGACAGGCAGGCAGGCAGACAGACAGACAGTTAGACAGACAGCCAGCCAGACAGCCAGACGGACGGACGGACGGACGGACAGATAGATAGATAGATAGATAGACAGACAGTCAGTTAGACAGACAGACAGACAGACAGACAGACAGGCAGGCAGGCAGACAGACAGACAGACAGACAGACAGACAGACAGACAGACAGACAGACAGACAGACAGACAGACAGACAGACAGACAGACAGACAGACAGAGAAGTACTTTATTGATCCCAATTTGGGAAATGTTTGCGTTGCAGCAGCATAAAAAACAAGGCAATGTACAAAAGAGAAACTAAGACATAAGTAAATATTTTTGGACTGTTTATTTCTAGTGTGTTTAGCACATTTTAAGATGACTCTATGCCATCCAGGCTTACAGAGGTCAGTACTTCCTTGGGAGGATGAGGTTTTGTTTACCGTTTCCTTCAGTGTGATTTCAGCAGATGCACTCTTCATCCTGTATCTTGTCTCCTCAGAGTGAGGAGGCGCTGCAGGAGACTCGGCTGGTGTTGCCTCTCTCGCCCGGCGGCACCGCCTTCCTCTACAACCAGGAGCTGGTGTTCGCCTGCTCCACAGGAACCAGCCGGGGGGGGCCGCCTGACGAGAAGATCAGTTTCACCACGTCTGGTGAGAAAAAACATTCTATACGATAATTCTCTCTGGCTCCATCTTTGGCTCTACATTTACAAACGTTTGTTTCTGAAATATCATTTTCATAGAAAGGATTTATAGTATATTTAGCACTTTATTATCCTAATGAGATGAGTTATTATGTATTTGATAAGTTACTACAACCAGGGAACATAGAGTTTTTGGTCTGAAAACAACGAGTAACTATCACAAAAAAGAAATAATTAAAATATTTGTAGCAGATTTACAATTTAGAAAAGGGTGTTTTGTTATCTGGTCCTGAAGAAAGCACATCAAGAAATCAAAGAAATGTTTACATACATTTATTTTTGTTTGGGTTTTAAAGGGTAAGATAAACATAGTGGAGGAAATGTTGCACGTTTCAACGGTGGAATCGCAGTCTTTCCGAAACCCATTTCCCGCCATCAGACAGGAACACTTTTGCAAGCTACCTGGACCAGTGTGATGCCGCGATGCAAGCTGAGCTAAAGGAAACACGGCTGATGTTCAAACAAAGAGCAGCAAGCAGAGGTCCAGTGTACAGTATTGTCCTGATTAGAGGAAGTAATGTAACTAGTAGATGAACTAGTAACTTTCAGCAGTGAGTCATTTAGTAAAGTAAGGCATTACCCATGATCAAAATTCCTAATAGTTCCTAACAGTACATTTCTTCCCCTCTGTGTTTCAGGTGATGGTGTTCGTGGAGGCGGCTGCTGCGCCAACCTGCCCGTGTTTTTCTCCCAGAACAGCGGCCTGGTGGCGGTCGTGGCCCGAGAGAGCGCCTCCATCCTGCCGGAGACCATGGAGGACTCGCTGTGCTCCTCGCTGGCTGCAGCTCCAGAGGTACTGAGGCTGAGAGGATCTAATAATAGATTGCATTTGTATAGAGCCTTTCACGGGACCCAAAGCCGCTGTACATGGTGAACAAACAAACAAACAAAAGGGGGAAGTGTGTGTGTGTGTGTGTGTGTGTGTGTGTGTGTGTGTGTGTGTGTGTGTGTGTGTGTGTGTGTGTGTGTGTGTGTGTGTGTGTATCTGAGTTTTGATTATCTCACCAACCATTGCCCTGATCTACTTCATGTTTGGAGTGTGTGTTACTGAGACCCTCAGGCAGTGCAGAGCCACATGTGAAGTTATTTGGATCTCTAGAAAACCATAGCCATGCTTCAAAATCCACACAGCATCACAGACACAGCTGCAGACGAACATTAAGGGGCATCTATAGCACGACTGAATGTGCAATTATACAACCATGGTAGAACTGAGGATGTGTGTTTGCCTCAAACAGGTTTTATGTGTATCGATACCGTTACAGTACAGGACCCCGGAGTGGCCAAATACAAACGGTGCACTTTCAATAAAGTCGTCTCCTTGTGTGTCGGCCAGTCTAACTTCCAAAGTGTTCATCAAACCTGGAGCAATTGCGAATGCGAGCTTTTGCACTATTGACCCGTCGACCGTCTACTGTGATTAAACCTAAAGTGTATTTTCTATTTTCTGTATTTGTGTTTAGGGTTCAGCCATGGAGACTTCGAGCAGAGCGGAGCCGGTAGCTCAAGAGGACAAAACCAAACTGCTGAAGGCGGCGTTCCTGCAGTTCTGCCGGTACGTCATGAACACTTCAGAAATCTGTTAATTAGAGAAACAAAAGCTTTTATTGACAGTTTTATTTAAGTTAGTTTAGTCTTCTCAATAGTAAATGTTGGCTGCTCTCAAACGTTATGGACTGAACCTGCATGATTTAGGATTGTTTTAATCCTTGTAAATACATGTCCTTCTTCTCCCTCTGTCAGTAACGACCTGGTGGGCGCTCAGACGGTCACAGACGAGATCTTCCCCCCCGACGGAGACGGGGAGGAGGGGTCGGAGCTGGACAGCATGGTGACCCGGATCAACCTGGACCTCGTGGACGATTACCCCGCCTCGGACCCCCGCTGGGCCGAGTCCGTGCCCGACGGTGAGAGAGAGAGAGAGACTTTGATATTGTTCCTGGTGTAGCATTTCTTTACTATGTGACTATGACACATATAGTGATTGAGTGATGAGTCAGATTCTAATCTTGATTTTATTAGGATGTTCTCAATTAAAAAACACTTAAGATTTCTTATAGTTTTTACAGTAAGCATTCATCAAGTTAATTCGGAGATATTTGTGTACACATGTGACATGAAGAAGAACAAGAGGTTATATTTAGTGTGTTACATATTTGAATGTATTCGGTATGTAGTCCCTGGATTCTTTGTTCTGCACGTCCAGAGTTATTACAACTTTCGTAATGTGTGTTTCTTTAATGATTATGCTTTTTAAGGATGTATTTGTCATCATGTCCCTCAGATACAAAAATATTGTCCGTCCTCTATCGTACTCTTCATGTCTTTTTTTACATCTATTATATTAAATAACCTGACATGTTTATTTCATACAAAAAATATTATCTATATTTTATCCAGAGAGCGCTGGGTTCCCTCTCACCTCCCTCATCATCCTCCATCAGCTGGAGGACAAGATGAAGGCCCACGGCTGCTTCATGGAATTCCTGCTGCAGGTGCACACACACACACGCACGCACGCACTCACACACACACGCACTCACACGCACACACACACACACACACACACACACACACACGCACACGCACACACGCACACGCACACGCTCACGCACGCACACACTCACGTACACACACACACACTCACACTCTCATACACACACACACACACACACACACACACACACACACACACACACACACACACTCATACACGTACACACCCACACTCTCATACACGTACACACACACACACACACACACACACTCTCATACACACACACACACACACACACACACACACACACACACACACACACACACACACACACACACACACACACACACCACACAAAAAGTGGTGTACATAACTCGTATAGTGCTTTAAAACAAACCCAGTGTGTAATAAGTGAATAGCACTGTTGGTCAATGTGATTTCTCTTGACATCTCGCTAAAATCGTTGTTAAAAGTTAGTCTATTTTATGTGCTCCAAATATTGCATATGAACTGGATATCGTGCTCTTTCGTTTGTGTTGATTATTGCTCTAAGTTTATGCTGCTCTCTTAGCGGGTCATTCTTGAAAGGGCTTTAAGTTGTAGATGCTCTGTACCAAAACAAATACTTATTTCAAAATGTTTTTTAACACACACCTAATTAGCCTTTAACAAATATTGTGTTTCCTGGAGAATAGATATGTAACTAATGAATTGTGCAGCCTTAGCGATGGTAGTCAACAACCTCCTGGAAAATACTCTCATTAGTCTAAAATATGAACCTCTCGTTGGAAATAGATGCATCCTGGAACATAAAAGTAGACTTAATATAACGTGAAGTAATCGCCCCCTCCTCCTCCGTCAGGTGGGTCTGCTGGATCGCCTCGGCCAGGTGACGGTGCGCTCGTCTCCCATGGCGACGCGCCTGCTGCTGTGCGAACACGCCGAGAAGCTGCAGGCGGCCATGGTGCTGAAGAACCTGCACTCCAAACACGCCGAGCTGGTGAACCGGGCCATCAGCGCCGCGCTGGAGAGGGGCGGCGGCGCCGTGCCGCCCAGCCTCACCGCCGCAGACGTCTTCTTCAGAGAGGTGGGTCCAAGATTCAAGGCTTTATAGAGTGGAGCAGGAACGAGTCCTAAAACCCGGAAGTGAGTTAGCATTGTACCACTTCCTGTTCCCTCGTCTCAGTCAACGGGTTTTTTGTACTAGTTTTTTGAGAATATCTGAAATAAGGTCTGTGGTTGAGACACATTGAAGAAACGGGTCACGTTTTGTTCTACAACATTAAATCCATCAGCAGTGACCCCACTGGAGATTTCTGAAGAGTTTACGTGTGGCTGAATAGGACTACAGAAGTCGTGGAGGACGTTGTACGTCATTATGCCGAACACGTAAACACTCCTCTAAGTTTGTTTGCCCTGTTCTGCTTGAAAGCAAGTGCCTGCCTCCTGGAAACTGTTCAAACAAACGCTTCAACTTGTACCATTTAGAATCTGTATGTTTGAATATGGATCTTAAGTTGGCGTGACGTTGAAGCAGCGACCCTGCTGTAGTTCCTTTATAGCATAATGTTAGCATTTTGCTTCTGGCGATTAGATTTATGATTAGAAAATTATTAAAGTAGGGTAGACATGTGGAGATTATCCGGCTGAACAAAACGTGCATTTATCAAACAGGTTCGTTTTCCTAAGATCTTATTTTTTACAATATTCTAAAATCCTATGGAGAAATCCCATTACTTTTTGTCGAGGGAAACAATGCAGCTTACTTCAGGGTCGAACTACAAAAATACGTCATCACTGCACCGCTCTATAGCCATGTGCACATTAGCTGCAGTCACAGGCTCCTCCAACAGTGCACAGTGAAATTCTTCAGTTGTTCTTTACATCTGTGATGTTGTCTGTTCTACAGTACTGCTATACTACCTGGTACAAATGTTTGTCAACAGCTTTAAAATCAAAACTGCTCCACCTGTTAAAAATCTGCTCAAAGACATTATGACTCAGCAGACCATAAGAACCTGAGAGGCTGTCCAACAACATCATCTGGGTCCCAAAGCATGTTCTGAACAGAGAATATGAACTGCTACCATCTAATGGAGATCACTAAAGTCAGACTGAAGCATCCTTTGTGCTCCAGTCCAGTCCTCTCAGTAAACACAGAGCTGATCCCAGATCAGATGCACCTGAAGGCTCTTTGAGCAGCTTTTCTCTCACTGATCGTGTTATGTTCAATGTTTGTTGTTTGTGTTTCATGTATTGTGTCTTGATATGTGTCTGTGGATGTTACACATGGAGCTGCTGTGATGCATCTTACATTTCAGACTTGATCTGACCATTGAAGCGTTATCGTATCGTATGGAGACGCTGAGTGACACGTTGTGTTTCTGCTGCAGGTTTCTCAGATCTCCTCGGTGTTCGACTGTCTGCTGGACGAGGAGGATCGCAGTCTGAAGGAGAACCCGGTGGACTCGGTGCAGTGGGCCGAGGTCATCCTCACCGTCAACAACATCATCAAGGTAAACACATTCTGCATTTCATGAAAAGCAAATATTAACTTAACAAAACTGAGTTATTTAGTAAGGGTAACAAATTGTACATATTTCCTCAAATCAATGGAAATGGAGGGAATTCTCCTTTTGTTGTGTTTTGAGCTTTTTATCTCTGTAATTCCTCTGAAGAAACTTTGACGGATGTGATGGATATTTTAATAAAAGAAAGCTTGTATCAAGAATTGAGAAAAGCCGGTCATCCCAGAAAAAGGACCATTGGCTAAAAGAATGAATAGAAAAACAGACTTACTTACTGTATATCTTATACATTAGGGTGGTCCTTCAAATTGAAAGTGGGAAAGTCTAAGCTCCAATCCCCAGAATTCATTCTAT